GCCATAGTGTTAGAATATCCATCACCACTAGTAGAAGCGGAACCAGAACTGTACGATACCGACTGAGCAGCATCAGGGTATAGGAACGACTCTGCACCATGCTTCTCAACGTACTGAGGACTGTATCCTGTCTGAGCACGAACATTATTCCAGAATAACTTGTAGTCCGCCATCGAAATAATAGTCTTACCATTTAACTCCAACGACATCGAGTCAATTACATTGAAATTACCACAATTAAGAGTGGCGCAGAAACGATTTGCGGCAGCCGTTTGTGCAGTGGCACCATTCTTCATCGAAACCTTGTACGGTAGCATAATGCAAGCATCACGAAGGCACGCGAATCCTTCCGAACCATTAAGTTGAGCCGTGGCATCAATAGTGATAACTCCATTTTGATACGAACCCTGATTTAGATCGATAACGTTAGGGATACGCTTGGTGGAAGATACTTTGATCTCCGGGTCGCTCTTAACCCCTTGGACGCGGAGGGGTGACATGGACGGTATAAAAAAACGCTTAAACCGTCCCGGACGGCATAAGAAATCGTATGAGACTCAGTATGACATAGTGAACGCGAGAATAAATTTGGCTTTTCTTCACACAGTTTGTTGCTAAGCTCCCTGGTAATTATTCCACTTGAAGGGACTGGTGTGATCTGCGGATAAAAATCCTCCGATGAGCTGCTCACAGTGCATTCTATGCAATACTGATATTTAGAGAAACGTTGCGCCTGAACGGGTACACATTCCGCTCTATCTTACATGTAACATAATGGATGCTATGGTATCGTCGCCTTGATGGTTGCTACAAGTGATAAGCCCTCTAGGACCCCCACTACATTACAAACAGCGCGCTCCAACGCCACCAAACAATGCAAAAGAAGAAGAGCAAGTACAGAGTAAGTTGATGTTGTCTTCGCACACCGACATTGAAGCAGAGATAGCACCGCACTTCGATCAGTCGAACAGTATGCATTATGTGTGTGACCAAGATAGGAGCAACATGAGAACAAGCATATTGCATAACACTTGCTCGCGGTTTAGTACCAAGTCAATCAATAGATTTCAATAAGAACTAATCAATGAAGTATATATAAATGCAGTATCTAAACCAATTAAAATGGCTTTCTGTTTGCATACCCCCAGGATCTTGGCGGCGCATGAGTAGGCTGGTACGTGTTCATGTGGTTCATCTCAACGTGCTGTGGCGGAAGTAAAGTCTGGTTTAGCACATCTTGGTCTAGTTCCATGCGAGCGTGGGGGCTTGCCCCAGTAAGATTGAACTCCACAGTGGTAGTGTCGAGTCCCCCATTCACCACAGGCATGGTAAAAAATGGGAGGGACGAACTATTCTGGAGGTAGGGTTTCTTCTACAATACAGAAATATGAATTCGTCAACGTATTAAGAATTGAAACACTGACAGGAATATGCTCATTCATGAAGACAGTATTCTCTCCTGACTGAATGTTAGTTGGCTTCAAGATAGATTCAAAGTCATATACGATGAAATGGTCGTTATAAGGAGTAGCGTCGTGAACTTTATATTTCTGCATCATTTGAAATGCAAAGTTTTTGCCAGGCTGGTAGATCGTTGGTTGCTTAGCAAATGACATAATATTTGTTTTATCACATTGATTCTTTTGATGGTCGTTCAGCTTCGTAGAGGTCGCAAAAATCATTTCACATTTTGAGCATAAATATTTACTCATGAACTTATCCATATTATTGATGTACAACGCGCGGTTGCTGTGTGATAGGATGTTTAGAACGTTGTACGCCTTCTCTGATTCGCGCTCGCATTTAACTTCACCGCTGGATACATCCTTGCTGTATACATTGATAGCAAGCTTGAAACACTCCTCAAGCTCGTCAAAGTGGAAGATATCAATCGGTTTAAAACTACGAAACAGGCTGAGACTGTATTCAATGTTTTTAAACTCGCAATACTTCTTGAAAGCAGCTTTCACATGCACTTGAATTGTTCTAGGATTTTGTTTTGCAATTCCTAGTCCGTGGTAAGCAATACAGTGGAAGACACATTTATTATTCGTCTTGGGGAAATTGATAATATGTATACTATCGCGGAACTCCTTCGGAATAACAGCGGCGCTATCACCTAGCGTATAGTTACGCTTATAATTGTATACTCTGAATCCTGTGATAGCCTTTAATTTGTAGCCAGATTTTGGGTATTTTAACCTATCAGCACGCTCCATCGTTCTGATTTCAGGAATGACTTTCTTGCGAATGTCAGATTTACTGTTAACCGTGATAGGCTTGTCGAAGACGTTGGTGTTCGATAGACTAGGATGCCAGTATAGTTTCTGACCGTCACTGAGACTCTCCAACTCGTATCCAAGAGCGATATTGATCTTGAACGCCTTCAACTGAGAGCTGAGAATAGTCTCTAGCTTATCATACAATTCTGATGGAGAAATATTCTCATATAGATGCGATTCCTTAAGTTTACCTTGATAAAACCGGTAGTAAGGGTCCCCCTTGTAGTTAGGTGACAGATGAGTGTTTAGTTTCTTCATAGATAGTTTGTACTGCTTAGCAATCAATTCTCTATTTTTCGGGTTACCAACATTGCTGATGTAAACCATTTTCTTGGTGCGTCCAAGCACCTTAACACGGAAACTACTACCCCACTTGGTACATGTAACCCCAAGTCGCTTAAGTCCTTCTAATTCATATCCAAACATCGTCGTTGTATATCCGCTCTACTATATTTTATAAGATTTTATCTCTCAGGATGGGTCTTTTATATTTATAAAAAATAAAAAATATTAATATATAATTTTACACTTCTTTGTCATTTTCACTCTCTACTTCGTTCGAAACCTCAATTCTCGTGGGAAGTTTCGATTTTAGTTTCTTGTTTTGGTTTCTGATTTTTCTGCGTTGCGCTAGCTCCTCCTTGTGCAACTCATTATACTCCTTTTGATTAGTTAGACGCTGCTCTCTATTCTTTAGATAGTAACGCTTCTGAGCTGCTTTAAAAGCCTCCTTGTTAAGCTCATAATTTTCGCGAACGTAAACCATAATTAATTATTTTGTATTATATGATATTGTGTTATATACTAATGGAAATTAATTATCAGAAATGAAGATAATTAAATGCATTTTCGATTTTGAGCCAAAAAATTATAAATTATTCATATTGCCACATGTATGGAACGCACTTATTAAATAATTCCTTCCAATCTGCATTATTATCTAGTCGCCTTGAGAAGTCCACTAACAGCTCGATCAGTTCATGAAACGATCCATCCCTATCTGCTATCCTAAGAACTCTTAATGCTCTCACAGTACGTTGCATAGCTATAGTTCTCTTATGATGCCCGCAACCATAATTCGTCCTTAAACAGCTTTTACATCCATGCCAAAACACAGTCATCGTATGATATGTTATATATTTTATCATTTCGTCGCTTGAGATGGACTCACTTTTATATAATTGAAAATTTTAAGGTAAAATCCGCATTTAATATTTTACCTAATTCATTGCAAATTGCCTGCTCCAGCTACTCCAGCTTGATGTCAGCAACACCGTTGACCGTCTGGAGTTGATCGCGTAGCTCTTGGTAGTGGCGCTGGGTGTTCAGGTACTGACGCTCGAGCTCTATCAGCTTGCTTGATATATCCACATTCTCCTTGCGCGCACGATCCATGTCACCGAACGCCTTCTCCCGCTTGACGAGCCATTCTCGCTGTAGACTCGTCAGCTGGGCTTCTTCCTTGGCCGCCTTGAGTTTTGCAGTCATCTTCCTCACCTTTTCTTCAGCTTTAGCACTCGCCTCCGCTATCTTCTCAGCCTCCTCTGCTTGAACCCCTTTATAGTCGCTCGCAAACTTCTTCGCTTTCTCTTCTGCGATGCGGGCGACGGGATGCGTGTCATCGATCATCTTCTTGAGCTCTGCTCCGCGAGTGTTGAGAGCATCCATCTCCTGCTGTAGGTTGGACGGGTTCATCTTGACTGCTGCTTGACTTGGTAGAATGCAGAATGAGCACTCCCTACTCTTCTAGCATGAACACGAGATCTTAAGATCGCATTGGTTACGAAACCATTTATCTATAAAAGGTCGCTGCTATAAGGAAACTCCTAACTATCGGTTTTAGATCTTTCATGCCTTGGTAAAAATTTGAGAAAAACTGACTTCGTTTTATGAAGGTAGGTACCTTGGCGAAAAAACTGCCTTCGTTTCATGAAGGTAGGTACCTTGACAAATATTTGGATTTTGATTTGTGAAGGTGGGTACCTTGGAACTTTACCACGTTTTAGCGTTGCTTGTAGGAGATCTAAACCGGGTCTGAACAACTTTATATCACTTGAAATTCTAATGATGTAGAGCTTCAACAAGAAATCTCGCTAATGTCATATTTCGTGAAAAACTAACCTCATTTTATGATGTTATATACTACTTGAGCCACAGCAAGATGAGGTGTACTCTGGGATACATTCGCCAGAGACACTTTCCACCAGACTTTAGGCACTCATCGTAAGGGAAAGTCCGCGGCTGGAATGAGTGTTCTCTGAAATCCTGGGCGTGCACTCCCAGGATTCACACTTCCAGCCAGTTGGGCCCATCTGTGGTCAGGCGCTGGATTCACCCCGAGAAATCACTTCTCTCCCACAGTCGCCATCCATGTCACACGGGTACAGCCGCGCCGTATCCAAGTCATTCACCAATCAGCATCCAATACAAACTCCAAGTCCAAAGGGTGGCGGCACATCGTCGGCGATTTTCTGGGGACCGCCTCGTGTCAACCGCCCCTCCTGGTCCAGGTACATCAAAGAGGAAATAACTCCGAACCGGTGAATCATGGCCAGGCCACACAAACACAGAGGGCGATCCACCGTCGACTTCGATACGGCCGTCGCACTCTGTCGACTCCCAGGATTTCACTCACTTTGGCGACACCCTGTCTACCCAACGGTTGGTCAGGACCTATCTTCAAGGTTCTCTTCTCAAACGCAAAAACTCCAACGGGCAATGCGCGGTCACATCGCCATTTCACAGATCATCAACATGGCGGAGAGCGTGCCTTCGGACGGCAAGCAAGCGACGGTGCCAGCTCAAGGCACGGCGCCCCCCTGCAGCGCGCCACCTCCGACGCAGCAGCGCACCGGCGACGCTCCTGCGAACACCGCTCCAGCGGGCGGCGGCGGCGACCAGGCGGGCAACTCAGCGTCCAGCAACACTTCGGCGGGCGTCACCAGGACGGGGGAAACTAAGCGCGTCTCCTTCTCCGGCGACGCGGGCAAAACCTCTGACGCGAATATGCGCGAGGCCGATGGCACTGCCTCGGCTGACGCTGCAGCCCAGGAAACTGGTGACGCGAACTCAGAGTCTAAAGCTCCAGACGCAGGCGACACGGCTGCGGATGTGAACCTGGAGGATGCCCCTGAGTTCAAGTTACCACGACACGCGACGCTGGAGGACGTCAGGGGGCTCGTCTTCGCGGGTATGCTTCGGCAGCAGGAGGTGGATGTCCCCGACTTCGTACTCCCTGTGCACCCACCGCATTGGACACTGCCAACCCCGCCGGATCTCAAGACCAACGCATATCTCGTGGGAGTCCCAGGGATCGTGAACGACATTCGCGCGGGTGCATTCGCCATGGAAGGCTACGGCGGCGCGTCTACGCTGATCGGCTTCGAGGAGCTCTCCGACGAGAATCTTCAGGGGTTGAAGGAAGTCTGCGGTGCCAACGCTGGGATCGACGTCCTGTGTCCACGTCGTTCGCCTCTTTCCGCATTCGAGTTGGACAACACCCTGAATTCCATCGGCATTCGACGCGAGATGGCCTCACTCCTGCGTCACTTCAACAGCACAAGGCTCGCTGAGCGCGTGTTCAAGATGACTGGTTACCTGCGTCGAGTCCTCGGGGCCTACCGAAACATGCGTTCTCTGGCTGACTCTCAGCAGGGTTTCACCGCCACTCAGGAAGTAGTCGACACGCGACGCAAGTATAAGGAACTGAAGCGCACCTGGAAATTCACGTGCGACTACTGGTTCTTGGAGGTCCAAGAGGCCCTGGGCAAGGTGGATGATGCTGAATCCAAGTACAAAGTCGCGCTGGGCGAGCAAAAGACGCGGTACCAAGACGAGATTGATTCTCTGGAGTCCGAGAAGGCACAACTCAAGGCGCGCCTTGCCGACTCTGAGGCACAAGTGCGAATCCTGAAATCGCGTCTTGAGTTAGCCACCGTGGACCCCTGGAAGTTCCCTGACTTCCTCCAGGAGCACACAGACTTCACGGGCAATTGGGAGCGTCTCCACGACCTCTTCAATCTCTGCATCAAGGACTCGAAGCCTCCTGAATCCTGGGACACTGTCATCAACGTCACGGCCATGGACAAGCGCAAGGCTGCGGCGGCCCCGTATCCAGAGAAGAGCACGCGTATGCCTCCGTCTTCAGGGTCTGGGTCGTCCGTCGTCCTGAAATTCTGGATCTCACGGGTCCTGGCAGCAAGTCTCGCAGCGGCGCGAAGGCCGGAGGCAAAACTTAGGATTCCAGAAAATCTCAGGGTTCCAAGAACGGTCAAGGCTCCAGAAAATCACGGGACTCTGAGGTGCCAAAAACGCAGTCGAACTCCGCAAGCCCCCAGGTTCACAAGGTCCAGCGTCGTCCCAAGGATCATCAGCCTGGCCGCGACTCTGTGCGTCGCGCCGGCGAGAAGACTGTGGTGTCCAAGGAGGCCGCACACACGATGCTCCCTGGGGGTGTCGTCTGGAAGGAAGTTCGGCCAGACGTGCGTCAGGCTATTCTTGCTGGGCTCAAGTACGACACAGCCATGGAGTGGATCGGCAGCGACCGGGCGGCCCACAGGCATTTCCGACAGCCGCAGCTGATCAAGATGCTCGTGAGTATGATGTACTGGCGTCGTCTCGATCGGACTCCCTGGCGCAAATACGCCCCTGAGGCTTACTACGAAACGGCGGACGAGCGTCTGGACAGGTGCGGTGATGTGCCACCACCCTGGGGGAACCTCGATGGCCCACATGGTGTACCCTGATGAGGACGCCGATTCCACGGTGGACGACATCGAGAACGACCCGGACTATCAGCCTCCCGCCCAGGAACCTGAGGAGAGCGCCTCTAGTAGTAGCTCTGAAGAGGAGGAGGAGGTTCCCCTGAAACTCTGGAGGACGTCGAGGCCGCAGAGGGCGACGACGACGCAGAGGACGACGACAACGCAGAGGACGACAATGGGGTAGAAGAACCCCTGGAAGTCAAGCCTCCTGCTAAGCGCCCCCGTTCTGAGTCAAGCAAGGAACCTCAGGGTTCCAACTCGAAGTCGAAGAAGAAGCGTCGCACGGGAAACAAGAAAGACACGTCTGCCACTCAGGGTTCTAGTGGTACTCAGGGGTCCAAGGCTACATCACGCTCCAAGCATCCGTCGGCACTCGCGCGGAAATCATACTCGGAGCTCACTTCAAGTGAGTTGATGACGGCCGAAGACCCTGAGGACAACGAGACTTCCTGGCGCATCTATGGGGTTCTTGTGCAATACCCAAGCTCGACCAAGAGTGCGTCTTGCCAGACTCCTGGGTTCCCAGAGTACGAGATCCACAAGTATTCGTACGACGTTGTTCACGAGCGCTGGGATCGTGAGGCATACCAAGAAGTCCTGGATTCTGAACCCTGGGAGACTATGCTTCAGGGTCGCTTCCGAGTGTTCTATTTCCATGAGCGAGAGCTGCTCTCCGCGAAAGCGCTCAAGCTGTTGGAGGTCGTCGTGGACGCCATGCACAAGCACGCACAGGCAATCTGGGAGCGCGGGCACTGGGTGCCTATTCCGACTGAAGAACAAGCAGACGCCACCATGGACTCTCAGCGTAAGTCGCGTCGAAACGCGCTACGCAGAGCGTACAAGGCGCTCGTTGAGCGCTCGCACAACACCCCAGGGTTCATCCCGTCGTTGTGGCACGAACCGAGTCTCTGGAAGTTCCCGGACAAGTGCTGCTACTGGATTTGGGGGGATCCCAGGGCCAAGAAACTCGGGGGAGCTAAGTGCAAGGACTTGGACGTCCAGCTAGCGACGTTGGACATTCGTGAGCCCTCTCGAGTCCAATGGAACACGGCGGCTGACGACGATGAGTGGCTCCAATACGTGCCTAACAACATCAAGCGCCACATCAAGCCCCTGGCCATCCGCAAGCTCAACCCACTGTCTCTCAAGCACTCGTGAGAATCCAGGTCCTCACCAGATCCTGGGAACCATCGGGATTTCACATGTCGTAGCATAATTTCCAATAACATATCCAGGATTTCATCTCGATTTCAGAGTCTTCCCCAGAGATTCACCGTCTGTTGACATCGTTCCCCTGGGTCACCCAACTTCGTCTACTGCCTCCAGGTCCTCGTAAAGCTCGCCGCCTTGATCTTCTGTCTCACCACTTCACACAATGCCGAAGCCTCAGCAATATCACCTTCTCCATAATCAAATCAATTCAAATCACATTCACGTTCTCCATCCCCAATATTCACACATTCCGTCGATTTTCCCCAGAGTTTCACAGTGTCACCCAGGGTTTCCCCTGAGAATCACATGTAACTCTGGGTCATTGCCACCCCAGACTGCTAGACTCCTGGGTGATCATCTCCAGCCTGCATGGCCTGGAAACGGGCTCGCGCTCTTGCGCCTTGATTGAACTCGTAGAGCAGGGCGCCACAGTTGAGCTTCGACACAGGCAGCCACTCGGCCTCATCGTACCCCTTCCACTTTACAAGGTACTCGCGAATACGTCTCGCTGTCCGGGTCCGCTTAGTCCAGCGCAAATCCAGGATTCGCTCAACTTCGTACTCGTCGTTCGCAGTGTCGGGCTCCCAATTGTCTTCAGGCAGCAGCGCCGCATCAAAGTCATCATCCTCGTCCACGTCGATCTCCACAGTGGGTCGCTTCGGGAATAGTGCTCTGGGTTTCAAACAGCTCACGTGTACCCAGGGGTTCACGCGATACCCTGTGTTCTCGACCCTGAGTTTCACGCGGAAGTTGTCATGGATTTCCTGGATTCTGAAGGGACCATGCCACATGTGAGCCAGTTTGCGGCTCAGCCCGGGCTGCACCTTCGGTATATACAGCCACACAGCCACCCAGCATCACCGACTGCGAATCCTGCCTTCAGTCGTTCGGACAGCTCTCACCACTTCCTGGTTTGTTCGGCAGAGCGCGCCCGCTTGGCCTTCTTCTGGAGATTCTCAGCGCAAGCTTGTGCATAACTGTAGTCACGCTGTAGCTTCCTGGGCCACTCGTACGCGGTGCGCTCCTGGATACTTGAAGGCCTGGGTCCCAGCATTGCAGACACAGTACCGTGTGCGTCCTAGCCGTGCGCCAGAAAAAAACGGAGTGTCCAGGCGAGTGGCATCGAACGATGTATTCAGGGCAAATATCAAGCGCTCAGCATGGTCGTCCCAGTCACTCTGGTCCGCTTCTGCAATGTACGCTCGAATGCTGCGCACGACGGTCTGCACCGACCGCTCTTGCTGTCCGTTCGCCTGGGGGCGGTACGCCAGAGTGGCCCGCTGCTTTCTACCCAGAAGTTCACGGAAGCGCGTGAACACCTCACTCATGAACCTTGGGTCTTGGTCGTGCCTCAGCATCGAGCTCGCGCCGAATCTCCTGAAGGCCTGCTCTTCGTACATTTCAGCGACGTCTTGGGCTGTGGTGGAACTCATGGGTTTGCACATGACGAATCCTGAGAACGCATCCTGAAAAAGCAACAGGCTTGAGCGTGCGACAGCTTCGTCGTGTCGCCCTTCAGGAAATCATTGAGTCGCAGCAGGTGATCAGCTTTGTCCTGGTGCACTTTGATGCGTCGCCAGCGTTCAGCCTGGTATTCCAAAGGTCCCATGGGTTCGCTTTGGGCTTCGGTCTCCTGAGTCTGTGCCCGAGTCATCACTGCGAACACTTTAGCCGCCGCAGGCAACGGAGCGCACTCAGGTCCAGGGATACCCAGAGTTTCGACACCCTGAGAATCACTCCCTTGAATTCCAACGTTCAATAACACCTTCGGTTTTACCAACTTCTCGTGAATCTTGGACACCAACTGCAGATGTGTTCGTTCTTCAGCATCCTCCACCTTCCAGAATTCACCAAGCGCGAGGGGCTTAGACGTCAGGTAGTCTGCAGCCTGGTTGAATTCTCGCTTGACATGCACCAGCCGCACAGACTTGAACTTCGTCTTCAGCACTTCATACTCGGCCAGCTTCCTCTGGAGATTTGGCTGATTGCAGTTGATGAGACCCTGGGCTTGCTGGATGGCAATCCTGGAGTCCCCAACCCCAACGACATCCTGAATTCCACGCTCGATCGCCTGAGTGAGGCCCTTCAGAAGTCCATGATACTCAGCGTCATTCACAGTCACGTTCTCCAGGATGAATCCCTGGGCATCCAGGATTTCCCAACCGGGGACATGCCACAGAATGCAGCCGCAGCTCCCTTGTCGCGTGGAGGTCTTAGCGGCGCCATCGAAACTCAGAATACACCCCTCATAATCCGCTTCCAGCATTTCCATACTGATAGGCACTGGAGGTTTGACGCGCCCCTTGGCTGGGATCAAGTTTTCAGCGATATCATCCAAGTGTTCTCTGGGGGTAATACCCGCACCCAGAATTGCAGCCAAGCCGTCTTTATCCCGTTGAACTATGCGTATCTCCAGGTTCCAGTGGGACAACTTCAGACCCCACTTCACCGTTCGACCGTCTGCCGACTGCAAAGTCAGCAACCACTTCAACACAGAGTATCGCGTGTAGACAACGATCTTAGGGCTGCCTTCAACCAGAGTGCGAAACACCTCCAGGACTCTCAGGATAGCGATCACCTCCTTCTCCGCAATGTGATACCGCAGCTCAGCGTCATTCAGGACGCGTCCGGTGAATCGAACCGGATGCACAATCCCGTCGTACTCCTGGCCCAACACAGCGGATGCTGCCCACGGGTTCGCGTGGGGAATAATCACGTAGGGCATTGAACGATCAGGATGTCTGAGTAACGGAGTCGAAACAATCTTGCGCTTCAGGATTTCAAAGGCTTCCTGGGCTCTCGACAGGTCTCTCCTGAATTTCACCTGTTCCTCAGTCAGCTCGTACAGGACGGCCGCGATCATGGGTAGATCTTCAATGAACTTGTTGTAGTAATTCAGACTCCCCATGAAACTCTGGACGTCTTTCAGTGTCGTCGGGAACGGCAAGTCTTGGACCCCCTTCGCGACTTTAGGGGTCGCCCGGATACCCTCAGCAATAATCTTATGGGAGAGGTACGGAATGGACAACTTCCCGAATTCACTCTTGGGAAGACTCACAGAGATATTCCAGTAACGTAGTCGGAAGAGCAGCGCGTTCAGATCCTGGCACATCCGCTCCCAAGTAGGCGCACCATGGGCGATGTCGTCAATATACGAGCTTCGACCCAGGACAGGGCCCATCAGAGAGGGAGCCGGGATGTTACGCTGAAAAACAGTCATCTCGTCCTTCAACACTGAAAGTCGCGGTGCATTTTCACCTGAAACTCTGGGCTCCGTTTTATGTAAGGACCAGGGCGGCTACCCCTGGTCTCATATGAGCCACTCAAATGCAAGTCAACGCCTGATTGGCTGAAATGGGGTCTGGCTCCCCCAATTCAGCCAATCACGATGACCGTCAGTACACGCTAGCCGTGTACTGACTTAACTACTTTATGTACTGTCAATCTACCTACTTATGTAAATGGGGCCCATTACATCACCCCCCCTCTCAAAGTTGCGCTTACGCAACGTAAGCGCAAAAGACACATTTCCGAAAGAACACTCGAAGAACACCATGGACGACCGAGGCGGCGGAGGGACGGCGCTCGTGCCACCGAGCGACACAGGACGACGCAAGAGCAGCAAGCTTACACACACCGAGACATCTCGTCGGCGCACACGCCGAAGCAATGCGCAGCGCCCCAAGTGGCCGCGGACATCCACGGACACCCGAAGGGACGGCGGTCGTGGCAACGACGCAGCATGGGAAGCGACACCAACGCTTGACGACAAGCGCAACTGTGATGCGCACAGAGCGGAGAACCGGCGAGTGTCGAGACACAGGATGGCGATCAGCGTGGCGTGGCTCCTCGCTACGACCCTTCGAAGTAACTCCCGACGAAGAGTCGCGTAACCGTCGACTCGAACGGACGGAACAGCGAGACCAGCTTGGACATCTTCGACACCGGCGATCATCGGTGGAGCGGTGTAGTGGGCAAGCGCTCGCCGTGCTGAGCTGTGACGCGTGGGTTCGATCCCCACGCGAATCCTTCTTGCCACTTGCCATGCGCAGTCGCTCCAAGCTTGATCAGGTCGGGTGGTCCGTCGTGGGGACTCGGAAGTCCAGCTAGCGCAGTGGTCGAACGCTGCGCCACCAAGGCGGAGGTCACCGGTTCGAGTCCGGCGGTCGTCGTCAGGTTTTCTTCTTAGTCTTCGCGGTGAACGCCACCGCGAGCTTGCGGTGGGGGTCCACTTCCATCATCACGCTCACTTGAGGCTTCAGCTTCCGCGGGGAGCTCCGTGGTCTCTTCAGCAGCAGCGACCTTCGCCTCATAGTCACGAACAACATCGGGGACATCCCGAAGAAGAGCTGCACGCGTCTCCCACGTGTCCTCGTCAGGTGGAAACCCAGAGATGGGTCCTCGTGGCAAACGATGCGGTCCACAATCCAGCGCGCTTCACCCGCCGAGTCGACAATCGGAGAAGGACCATCGCGACGGTACAGGCTTGGGTGATGGGTGTTGACGTCGCGAGTAGCCTCGGGTACATTACCCGCCAGTGAATCCTGGTGATCAGAGGTCGGAATATCGGCAGTATAATATCGCTTGAGGCGCCCGACGTAGAAAGTCGGGTGAAGACGCAGCGACGACGGGATGTCCAGTGTGTACGCGGCGCCGAGGACCTTGATCACCTTGAACGGGCCGATGAAGCGCGGCGCGAGCTTCTTGGCACCGAGGTTGGTCACTGCGGAGGAGCGGATGCCTTCGGTGGACAGTAACACACGGTCACCCGTGCGAAATGAAGTCTTGTTCTTGCGCCCACGCTTTTCTGTGTTTTCCTTCTGCTTGTCTACTGCAGCTTGCAGTGCGTCCCGCACGAAACGTTTGATTGCCTGACGCTGCTGCACAAACTCGGAGACCGCGGAGTGGTCTGCGGGGCCCGCTGAGGACTTCGGTGCGTAGTTAGC